CAAAAAGGATAGTGCTAGCTTCGTCGCTACATGGATGTCCATAAAAGACTAGCTCTCTGTTAGCTCTCTATGCATAGGTTAGCGGGCCTATGCTCTGTTCTCTGTCCAAATTCAGACCACTCTTTGTTCAAATAACTTAACCCTTGGCATCACATTGTCGATATAAATTTCATTTTCATTCTTTTTTTTTTTGATTAAGCAGTAAAAACATATTTACTTTAGTTTACCTTTTAACATGTAATACAGTAATGCAACATAATGTTGCTGGTTATTAACTATGCACACTTTTGCACTAAATGCACTAAAGTTCCTCTACTCTTGTAAGACGCGTCGGATGAAAGCATCTGCTAAATCCACCAACAAAAGTAAATGTATACACGTATAAAAATGTATATGAAATAACACTGTACTCTCATTGCTTATCACTCTGCAAGAACCCCTAAAAACTCTTGAGCTAAACAAAATCAAGGAAGATGGTGTGCTTTGAGACAGAAGACTGCAACGGGTCACTACTTTTATTTCCTTTGTGGACAGAACTGCAGAAATGCCTTAGACAGATTCATCAAGCCAAAATGTCTAACAAAAGACTATAACAATAACATAAAAACTATAACAATAACTCAAAATATTAACATTAATTAATGAAATAATTAAACAGATTTAGAACAAAAAAACGTGTTGTAGACTTACCCTGTTCTCATCATAGATAATCTGAACTATGCTGCGGTGCTTGTGTTCTACTGGGGGAGGGGTCACTGGCTTCTCTGGCTCCATTGGTTTTGCTGCTTCTTCCTCAAGTTGTTGCTAAGGGGCAACAGCAATACATAACATTTTGATGCTAAGCCACAGCCAAGGCACGGGGAAAAATATGGAAAGCATGCTGATTTGCTGTCTGTGAGTTTGTCTGTATTCACACAAATCAAATGGTGGAGAACAAACATAGATATAATCGTGGTTCATCTGATAAGATCTAGGTTTCGGATTTTTGGAGCCGTTTTAACTACTAGAGATGTATTTCTCAGCAAGTTGATAGTTAAATAGTGCACCTGTTTTTTCTTCAACTTAAAAATCTGCTGCTCCACTTTTGCAATCTCTCTATCCACACGGTCCATACTCTGGATTAGCTCCTCTTTAGAAAGTTTGGAGGGAGACGTGTCATGATCTTCCCCTATATGAAGTGCGGACCCTCCTGGAGACGGTGAATCCACTTTGACAGTGAAATTGGACTCCTAGGAAATGCACAATTAGAAACATAGAATTTGAATTAGCAAAAAAAAAAATATTCCATCCGATAACACTGTCATATAATACAAACAGCTAAATATTATACGCATGAAGTGATGAAACACTTTAAGGTCATTTATTTTTTATTTTGTTTAACTGCAGATAACCCGCAACTGGAAAAAAAAAGTTTCATAATTACTTCTTATAAGAAACATTTTTTGCAAAAAAAAGAATGCTGTAAATGTGATGATCAAAATTCAGAATTTGCCAAAAATCAGTTCAACTTTCTAGAAAACAATTCTAGCAAAATGTATAATATAGAGATAGAAGCGGGCATTCACCAATTATATGTGAAAACATTTTATAACTGACCTCATTGCGTGTTTTTTTTTGTCAATTGCTTAAATTCACTCCTGATGTATTGAAACAAATTCAACAACAGAGAGCAAAGAATATTTATTAAAAAAATAGTGCTAGACTACAAAAAAATAAAGACTGGAGCCGGTGCCTGTCAACAAGTGAACAGTCAGTAACATAAAAAATAAATGACACTGATTTGGTCATTGCTCATTCACCAAGGAAAGTCGGTTTTTTTTTTTTGCCAACTACGAAAACAATCCACTGTTCATGAAACAGGACAATGACTATTAGCAAACCATAACTTATTTAATTTCATTAAATTACACGGTGCCAATGTTATCTTAAAAAAAATACAGAAGCACACAAGCTTTGACGACGAGATAAAATGTCATTCATCTCAGATGGGCACTGAGACAAAATAAAAATGCCCAGGATGAATGTAAACAAGAGCAATTGGAACAAATTCATTGGTTTATAGTTGTTTTTAATGGGGAAAATTCGATCTAGATACGAGTGGATCGAGACACAAGTGCTGTTGTAGATCAGATTATTAAACTAGTATCTAGGGCATACGTGTCAAACTCAAGGCCCGGGGGGGGGGGGGGCAAT